AAACGTTATTAATAAAATTGTATTCTATTCCATTAGAAAATGAAATATTTCACTGAAAGGCAACTGTTATTTCTCCAGAACAACTTACCCCAATGCGATAACAACTTGCCCCACTATGGGGTAAGAAGTTCCGCTTCGCCGTCTTAGAAATAAATAACTCCCTATGAAAAACTAATGACAATATGTTAAATATAAGCTTAGAATCTTAAAGTACAATAAATTTAACAATAAATTAGTCAATAGTGAAGAGAATAACTGCATTATTTCCCGGTCGTTTTTTATGTTTTCACAAAATTGGAACGTTTGGCCCTAGTCTCCCCTATGTATGTTATGTTTCATACTTGGCACAAATTTCAGACACACCTATGGCGATCTCTATCAATATACAGTATTGTGCGAATTAATGTGAACACAGAGCAAAAAACAGTTTTTGATAATGGCAACGCTGTTGTGTCGATTCTGGCAATTGTTTTGGCAATTATATTAGCGTCGAAAACACATGCCTTGCGGTATATCGTACGTTGCTTTTTGGGAATTTATGTTATTCTGAACCAATACGCGATAACATTTCAGTCGGTCGTAATTGTCTGACATCATGGATATCACGCCGAGGAAACGGGAAAAGATCATTACGCTTAGTGAACATACACCAATGACACAGAGAAACATTGCAAAGGAATGTTGTGTCACTTTGGATGCTGTAAATAAAATAATAAAACGGAAAAGAGAAACAGGATCCGTCGAAGTGCAGCGAAAGGGAAAATGTGGAAGAAAACGGAAGACTAGTCCTCGAGATGAAGCTTTTCTTTTGCGAGACAGCAAATTGCATCCCAGAAAAACCAGCTACGACCTCCAACAAAATTTAGAAAAGGCTGGTGTAAAAATTCACAACTCTACGGTGCGCAAAAGACTCTTGGAAGGTGGGAGAAAAGCCATAAGGCCGCAGAAAAAACAACTCCTGACTGTCCCTATGATGAAGAAGAGACTAAATTGGGCCGAAAAATATGCCCATTGGACAGTACAGGACTGGAAGAAGGTGTTGTTTTCAGACGAGACACACTTTTTAGTGCAGAGCCAGCGCTCAAAATTCGTTCGTAGGGGTGCGGATGAAAAACTCACTGCAGCTCATATTGTGCAGTCAGTGAAACATCCTATGAAGAAGATGTTCTGGGGCTGTTTTTCGCACTCGGGACCAGGCACTCTTGTTCCAGTAGAAGGCATGATGAACAGTGAGAAATATAAAGCAATGCTGGAAGAACATTTAGTTCGCGAGCTGGAGAAAGTCCAGGTCAACGACGACGCAATTTTTCAACAAGACTCAGCGCCATGCCATGTTTCCAAGTCTATGGTGAAATATTTCAAGGACAAGAAGATTACCATTCTGGACTGGCCTGGAAATTCACCAGATCTCAATCCAATTGAGAATCTGTGGGCCATTTGCAAGGTCCGATTACAAAAAATGGACTGTACCACGACAATTAAAATGGTAGAAGCAGTAATTCAGGTGTGGTTTCGAGACGAGACAGTTAAGAATAATTGTAAGAACCTAATCGATTCCATGCCAAGAAGAGTGCAGGCAGTCATTAAAGCGAAGGGGGGGCATATTTTATATTAACTAGTAGTAAGAAAGCTATGTATATTCACCTAACACTAGTTTTATTTCAAATACATGATATTTACCAGAAAACTCTCTGTGTTCACATTAATTCGCACAATACTGTACCTAAGTACATATTGTGGGAGTGGAAGTGAGAGCGAGGGTGAAGGAGAGAGAGAGAGGACCGCATTGGCTGCGTGTGTGTGTGAGTTGTGGGGGTTTGGCATGAAAGAGTGAATGTGAGAGAGTTGGTGTGAATGGCCTGGAAAGGAAGAACGAATGGAAGACGATCGTGCGTGGCGTGTTTGTATGTTTAGACAACATGGGTGTCAAGCCGATCGCGGCGTGTGTGATCGTGTGTATGTGGATGCGTGCGTGGAGAAAAGGAGGAAGAGTGTAAGGTGTGTGAGTGTGTAAAAAAAAACGGGAAGCATCGAGCTGGAAGAGAACGAATCGGAGCGGTGGCGCGAAAAAAGGGAAGAAGGGCAGAGAAGTGAACAGCACCGGCGTCGCGTGGGGTTACCTTTTATTATAAAAACGCAAAGGTATTTAATAAAATCCCACAATATTATGTATCAATACAGATCTCAACGTGAATGGGACCCTTTATTTAGCAACTTTTTAGACGAATATACACACAGTGTTGCTTCTTACGTGGGAAATATTTCGTAAACGAATTCTGCATTTATAAATAACAAAATAACTTGGTACAAATCCGCATCTAATTTGACCTTGTGTTGTAATTACAGAAAGTTTTGTGTTATAGTAAGTTCTATCTGCTTGTGTTCACAAGAGGTGTTCTAAATGAGTTCAAGCTTCCAAACGATGTGTCATTGATATTATTTTTTCAATTTTGTCAATCTTTCTAAAAGATAATCAGAAATTGTACACACAAAATATTGAGTGGTGTTCGTAAATGGGCAAGAGGAATAGAAGTTGCTGCACCTCGTCCTCTTTAGGAACACTGAACAATGCATTCAATTTCCTCAATTTTTTAGTCAAAGTATTGTTAGATTTATCAGTCAGTTAGATATAACAAAAATTAATCTAACGCCTTACTAGGAAGTATATATTACTTTTGTACACGTTCGGAAAAATCCGTTTTAGCCTTACCACTTCTAAATTAATCTAACGCCTTACTAGGAAGTATATATTACTTTTGTACACGTTCGGAGAAATCCGTTTTAGCCTTACCACTTCTGTTTAGTAAAGATCTAAATGTTTATGATACGTGACAAAAGGCCCTTCGGTCCCAAGCGGGGTCGTAGACAATATTAGGGCGTCAGTCCGTAGACAGTGCTCTTACCACCAAGTAGAAAAGCGAACCTTCCTTGTGTCTAATAAAAGTTCATAGTTTAAAATAAGGATTATTAATTATTTAACAACCAATAACTCCAATAATCCAATAAGTATCACATTTACAAAATTCATTATAACTCCGAATTAAGATACTGCATAAAAGTGTAACAAGTTTAGTAGAATAAGTCTTTTCGAAGACAATCATGTCATTTCTTAAAGATAATATTTCTGACAAATCTTATTAACGTTATAAAAAATAAAATCACAATTGCTGAAAGTTTTCCTTGACCAATTTATAACAATTTTTAACACATTTAACAATTTGTAAACACAGTAAAATAATTATAGTTAGAAAGTTAATATTTTGCAATAGTGCTACGAGTATTACGATAGTGTTATCAATAACAATGTCAACTGATGCCTGCACAAAAGTAAATAACATTCAAGGATATTCGAAACATTCGTTATTTAATAGGGAAAATATTAAAGAAGTTGCCTTTTAAATAATTGTCTTCATTTTGTCAAGTATCATTTTTAATTCCAACTTATTTTAATATCTTCAAGCATTGACTACATTTCTGAACTGATTTCTACGTTCGTTACATATTAACCGACATCTTGTATATTTCCGATATAATATTCCAAAATAATAGCAAGAAATGACATGCAAAAATCTCAAAAAGATAGATTTACCTGGTTACTTTTAAATATGCTAACTCAGCAATTTTCTCTGTAACTACATATAGAATAATAAACAGCGTTTAATTATCTTATTATGAGCTTTTACACAACACATTTTCCTTACATCCAATATTAAATAGTTAAAATTTATTTATACGTCGCCTTCTAGGGGAAACATGAAACATTTATCCTGAGGGACACTTTTACTATTATCTACTGAATTGTGTAATGCATATGAAAATTTCTCTACGTCCTATTTGAATCGTATTTACGAAACGACATCAACGTTTTCCTTTCTCTTTCGCAGAAACAGGTTTTCTGAATTGGTCGCGAAAAAACGTAAAACATAATTTAAAATGAGACTGTTCGTAAGATACTTACCTATATCGTATATTTTAATTTTGCCAACAAAACTAATTTTATCTATTACTTATTTTTCGACTATTTAGTAATATTAATTAATTGCGTTAAGTTTAACTACATTTTTCGATATCCTACAGTTTTGAAAACACAATGTATATTAATGAAACGAAGTAAGGAAAGTATTCACGATTATAAAGTAATTGCGATCACCAATGTTGAAAATAATGTGATAGCGTGTAATGGTCAGTTATAATCATCTGGCTGTACGAAGCATGTTGTGTACTAAGATCTACAAAAATTTCTTGCCAGAATTATTTAACCGTGGCAAATTTCAAAATGCAAATAATGATTTGTGTAACTTGGGCAAAGGGCCTGATATTTAAATTTGAGGAAATACGATAGAAGGGATAATTTCTAATACAGCTGCGTTTAGGAGTATCAAGTAAAGAACGATTGCAAAATCTGTTATAATATTACAATGTTTACATCTTGAAGCACAAATAATAATATACGTAAGTTCACCTGATATACTTTATAATATTAATTTATGCAGAAAAATACGTTTCCGGTGAAATATCAGTTACGATTGCAGTTTTGTTAATCGAGAAACAGAATTATATTATTAAATCAAAATAATACATTCCTCAATAATAACAATAACAGAAATTATACCTTCCGGTTGTAGTATCAAAAAATTTACGTCAAAATTAAAAATACATATATGTTTATCAAAAACATATTAACTACAAAAGTATAACTACTTTAATATTAATTACCAATAAGTTCTGAAATGTAGTCACGGTTTAAGTCTTCTTCGTGTATATCCTCCCATATTGTTTCACTTTGCATTTCAATGACACGGAATATCACGAGGAAAATTCATATTCCGAAAATAAAGTTATCAAGCCAAGAAATAACAAAACGATTACAGCAATATTAGACGTCGTTATCATTCAACTAACTTCTTAACGATATTTTACGTCCTCGTGTTCTTCTCGTGATACGCCATGCTGGACTTTTCACAGTTCGCCCGCAGCTATCTTTCAGAACTTATCCTTACCTTATCAGGGGGTGAACCATTCAGCACATCATCCTGAGAAATTTTAGTTTTCGGTATAGCTTTCCCGTACATTTCGCAGAATTGTCGACGGAACTGAAGAAGGGGTTGGACGTGATCGAAACTGTGACACGATTTTCACGAGGCGAGCGTCTTGATAGGACTGGTTCTTGGTCGCGTCGCGCTGGTCAGTTTTAATGAGATGCCGCCACAGGTTTAAAGAAAACGTCTTTGATTACGGGAGTGGAACAGTAAATAACTGGCGATACCGGAGGCCCGCAATGTTCAAGATCTATTCGTTTAATGACTTTTTTATTCTTAAACACTACCGAAAGCTTGTACACTTATTTAGAAATATATTTTGGGGAACGTACGTTATATTTTATTACGATATATTATTCTGTTCAGGAAATATGTTGACCAAAAGATTGCTGTCAAAAGGGCACATAAGTAACTTCCCGGATTTTTTAAATCATACCGATCTGAGAGAAATACTTAAACCACGAATTTTGAGATATAATCTCATGTCGGTATAACTATAGCTGTAACTACAGCGGAAAAGATATTAACGAAATGGCGTGAATAATAACAAAATATTGGAATTTTGCTAGACTAGTCGTCGGTCAGTTTTTTGTTTTAATGAAAGAAAAGTGATTGCAGATACATATACTGCCTGCACTTTTTTTTAACGAAGACTGGATTATTAATGTCGGAGTTTTATTGAGACTCCAGCTCGAAGAAATTGGTTTCCGGAGAAAGTTTTCACAAGTACATACGTACATTCGACAACCTGTATGTTGTCATTTTTCAATGCTTATATCTTCGTCAAATGTTGAAATTTCAATTTAAGAATCCGGGAACTTATGGTGCATCAATTTTTAAAGAAATGCAAAAAATTTAATTCGATTTTTTTTCTGTTCTAAACGACAAGACCTCTTTAACACGTTGTATACTCTATTTTCTATACTAAACTTATCTATCGACGATTCATTGTTACTCTAAGATATCATACATAAACTTAGCGCAATTTTAATAACATTCGATCATTTTGTGATGTAATCGTATTGTTTGTTCTCTTTGGCTTTGTGGAAAACAGATTCTGGAATAATTGTTAGTCGTGTACGAGCCGGTGTATAGCTAATTCAGGTATTTACAGGATGAAAGTGCAATACACGAAAGGATATGTCAAAATTTTTACACATGGGATTTCGCTTTCAAGAGAATCGATTTTCAAAATTCATTACAATCACGTATAACTGTTAGTATATTATTTTACTACGGTCTATTTTCATCTACGTTGGTATATTTAAATAATAAAGTAGGTCTTTGGACATTCTTTGTTATTCTGTTAAAATATTGTTAGATTGTACCTTGCATTCCTTGTTCAGAATTTTGCTGAAATTAAGAAAAACATGTTCATATTTTAATGTATTTTTGTTTTTATAATTTTTTAAATTAGTTGAAAATGATTTTCATCGTCATTATCAATGCCCACTAACACTAATATGAATAAAACTAGACAATGTGACGAATTCTCAAAATCGATTTTCTCGAAAACAAAGTTTCAAAATGCAAAAATATTCTTCTGTAATTTTCATCGTTCCGTACATATATAGTCGCTTACAATAGTGCAAACGACAAATATTACATTATTATAAGGTATTTAAGTTTCAGCCACAATTTTAATGTGCTGAGAAATGTATTCACAGTCTTAAAGGTACCGTGTGGTTAATGAAGACATTTGAAGAGTATGTACTAGGTATAACTTGATTCTACAGAGATTTGCTCTTTTAGGCTCCTACTGAACCCGATTGAACAAAAAATTCATACCTTTATACTTTGGAAAGTGGAGTGCGGCTAGAGCTATTCCAAGTGGGTGTTTTTACCCTGTTATGTCATAAAGGTGCTGAAAATCTGAACAGAGCTTTGCAAATTAAAGATTTTGTTTTCACGAAGCTGTATACTATAAAATTTTCTTGGCTTTTTATTACAATATTCAACGAGGTTTTACAAAATATCGATCGATGTTATCAACATTTTTACTAATATACAAGAGAGCTCAGCTCACGTACAGTCATTCACTGATGTAAGTTAAAATTTTTATATCTTTTAGTTGATCTTCATAATAGTAGGTACTACCAATGTGTTGTTAAGACTCTCCCTATAGAAGTGGCTCTAAACAGGACTTCATTCCAAATGATTTTACTGATACGCAATTTTAATTGTTTATGCGCATTTTACATTCAGATAGTACGTTTTTAAAGAATTGTCTTCTTTCTGTAAACATTATAATTATGTCGTTTTTATTTCGTAAATTTAAATCATCGTTTTTTCCTCTATGAATAAAGAACACAAGACACAATACGACATTTAAGGATAAGTGTGGTGTCAATATCATAACTTCAATTATGATTGATCAATTATGACAACAGTAAACAGATTCCTCAGGTGTATACCCTATGTCAAAGAGGGAATGTCGTATCGCTAAACGCAGTCCAAGTGATATCGTGTTTAGACTCACTTTTATCGGAAAACTCTTAATGATACTTGGTGATATTGGTTGTACTTTCATGAAAATCTGTTAATAAATGTGGTACACCCGTCCCTCAATTTACGCGAATATCCGTTCCACGTGGATTTGATTTACGCGAATAAAAATCGCGTAAATTGAGTCTGTCAGTGTAAAAGGAAAAATATTGGAAATAAAAGCTAGTAAAAGTTTTTCGTTGTATGTTTTCCTCCTTCTGCAAGTCGATTCAAAATTTTCATTTTCATGTCCAAAGACATCGACTTTCTCTTCTTTCGTGTGATTGAAATTTTGTTAGACATGACTGGGTTAAAATTAAAAAATATAAATTATAAATCTAAACAGTATAGTAACAATGTCGCCCTCTCAACGTCCAAAGTCACACTGTTCGCTTCCGCACCACGGCCCAGCGGCCAAAGACAACGCCTTGTGCGGGCCTAACGCAACAAAGTTTCTTTCTGCGTCACGCGTTCCGCCAACCGATCTCACAATACTGACTGTATAAAAGTGTCAATTTTAAAACTTATAGGAAAATATGTATGTACATATCTGACCGCGTAAATTGAGGTAAATTTGCCGCGTAAAACAAATACTCGCGTAAAAAAGTGCCGCGTAAATTGAGGGATTAATGGATGATTGATCGAGGTCGTTCCAATGAAATTTGGGGAATAGGTCAGAGTTCATTTGTCTCATTCGCCCTCCACCTGTTCGCAAACACTTGGTCGAACGAAGCCTGCGATAACTTTCGCGCGACTAAATCCGTGCGTATAGCAGTTATGCTTGCTGCGCCTTGTCCTTTCACCGCCATCGCATTACACACACGTACGCACGCAAAATAATAAAGTAGTTGAAACTATGTATATGAGCGATTTAGATCTTACATTTTGTAAAAGATAATGATTTTGCGTTTTCTTTTGTTCGGGTCAGTGTATTTGCTGTTATTGTTTCTGTATTTTCTTTCCAACGATTACACGACATGAAATACAATATCAAAAATGAATTCTTTGGTCGTGTGTAACTTTCTTTTTAATCCGCTTCGTTAAACTTTGTACTCATAGATTTTATACACTTATCAGTTCCATCCAAACTAAATCCAAATACATAACTTCGGTAAACAAAATACTCTTATCGCATTTTGTTTAGTACATGTATCTACTGTGAATTTGAAAATGTGACTCGGTATATTTTTCGAGATTTGCTTTTTATTTATTTGTACGTCGAAAATGAAATAGCAAATACCTTATTTTAGTGTATTTAGTTTACAAATAAACTCCGCAATATTCTTTTCCAGATGAATTGTATTTTTGCGCTTATAACTATTATTTACTTTTGAAGTTCTGATATATATCACATGTTGACATTTTGATTTCTTTAGATTATTACACAAACATTCATTTCTTGCACACTATGTTTGTTCTTTTAATGCGGATTGCATTAAATTTCTACAATTATTTCTTCAACATCAATAAGCTGATTACCTAATGGGAGTTACTGTAGATCATCCTCAATGACATTCCGCTATCACTGATACTTATAATTGTTATTTTATATGGAAGATACAATGAATGAAATCTGCACTAGTTATTTTAATATTACACAATTATTTTATTTCAATACTAAAATGCGCGATACACAAAACAAAACAAAACAAAAAATGATAAATTTTAAATGAAAGTAACATATAGTTCAAGAGACTGTCGATTAATTTAATTTATCAAGTTAAATTACAATTTCCTTGTTAACAAAAGAATAAAATGAAAATTTCTGTTTCATCTGAAGATTCAAAGAATTTATTACCTTTTGCTTCCCTTGAAACTCGATATATTGTGTTTAATACAAAATCAATTAAATACTTCGTACAAGTGGCACAGTCTACAATTATGAATTCGACCATTAACGTCACTTGAAAATTTCCCATTATTAATGAAGAGCACGGAAAAACGATTTCCTGGTAAGCTTCCACTGCTCGCATCGTCATTTCAGTTTCTCAACGCAATTAATATTAAAATCGTAGCGACGTAATCAAAACCGAGCAACTGTTTACCAAATATGAGCGCCAATGAACGCCCAAATAATTTGATTGGACGTCATAAAAACAGCCTGTTATCAGTGATTGACCCTCAGGCTACTTCTTCGCCGCGATAGGTCGCGAGGAGATGCGCGAATGTTATTACCATTGTTGCCGTAACAACTTGGAGACGTTGGTATTGGTACTTCAATAAAGTGTTGATAATGGAAACATGATCTTTGTTCCAAGAATCGAAAGGAACTCGTACAACTATTAATCCCAGTGGAAAATTCTATTGGATCACGAAAGCATGGAAGAAGCTTGCTTTTCTACGATTCCAGACATTTCTTATTAGAAGAAGCTCACGAATAAGTCGAAACACTGACGAACAAGTATCAAAACGATCGCTCCTTTGGCCCTCTGGAGATGTAGCGATGTCTTACTACTCGGTAAGTATTTCATTAGTGTGTATTTCTCTTCTGTTGATTTCGTGAACAGTTTTCCACGTCTCTCCTTGCTTTCATCGTTATTTTTTCTTTTAACTTGTGCGTATAAAATTCCTTCGCGATTTTTTATCATAACATCGATATTTTAAAAAATTCTTCTTCACTGAAATTTATACTTCGTCGATATACTGTTTTCTTAAAAAAGTCTCAGATATGGTTCACTCTGCATTACTTCGTTTCGTAAGATTCCAAACAAGTTGCCAACTTATATTTGTTATATCTTTAAAAGAATATAAGTCTGAAGTACCTCTACGCGTGTGTGTATGTATTTGCAATAATTACGCATTTTTTAATGTTCTAAAAGAATTGTTTTCAAAGTTGTCGATTTTCTGGAAAGTTTGATTAGGAATATATTTTCTATATAGTAGAGTCCGTTCAATTTTCGTCGAAATCCTATCCATATTCGTTCCGCGAGAAAGAGGAAATGAAAATTGAGATCGCAGTTTCTTGATCAGTCCAAAATACATAGACCTAGTTTCAAGAATGTACTTGGATTCATTTGTGAAAACAATTGTATAAAGCGCCGCTATATTCTTAAGTCTGTGCAAAAATTCTCAGCATTCAATACAGCAACAATAAATTCCGCTATATTGGTGATGTTTAAACTTTTGAATTCTAATGCTAACGTCATTCTACGTAGAACTGCATTCATGTTGGGTTGTATATTCTGCAAAGAAGTGTATTCTTGCGAGTATAGGGGAGAGTCGTGCAGTACCGGCCACTCTAAGTTTTTGTACTATAACTTGGGCTAATGTTAGTAAAAATCATTTAAAAATAGAATAGAACTTTTATTTAGGCACGTCTACAAATATCACAGGTAAAGTGATCGATATTTTCTTGATCCGTACACTCCACGTGAGCCCAACCGTTGCATTTGATGCACTGCACCCAATCTTCGTTGAAGGATTCTTTACAAATGATGCACTCAGTGACTTGTTCGTCAATACCTAGGTTCCTTCTTCGTGAGCTATCATTTTTCTTACTTATCTCTTCTCGTAACTTCCTTGCTCTCTTAATTTTTTCATTTTTCTTTAGTATTTTCTCAGCTTTTCTCGTTTTTGCTTTCAATTTTTTCTCATTAACCAGTTTCTTTTTTTCCTGAACATCTTCTATAAAGGATACTAATGTTAGAATTTCAGACTGTTGCATCCGTCGTTTTCTCTGTGTTATCCTTGTTTCTGAAATATTATTTGCAGGACTGATGTTTTTAACAATTTTCATAAAATCAGAAGATACGCTTGCTCATTTCGGACATTTTTCTGCAGAAAAACAAAGAAGAAAAACCTAGCGACTTGAATTATAGGAAAAAATTTTTTAAAAATTTGGCCGGTACTGGACGACAAGCACGTGGAAAAACTTTTAGGTTTAATATATAATATACAAAGCAAATTGTACAAACCGTTGCATTTATGTATACCTAATAGTCTAAAAATAATGTACGTACTATAACAAAATTATTTAATTACCTGAAAAGTTAGAAATCAGCTATGAAGAGTAACTTTTGTCGTACGGAACACCAGCGTAAACGTTAAACGTCTTAGAACTTTGATAATACTGAAGAAAACAGAACGTCGCCGGAATGCGTTGCTCAGGGTTATAGTATTTATTTGTTTATCCATCAATAGTGCAGTCAACTAACAGTATAAGCGAGATCTAGCTTTGGCCGGTACTGTACGCTGGCCGGTACTGCACGACTCTCCCCTACTACTTATAGCAGTAAATAAAGTTCATATTCAACAAAATTATTCCTGTTTTATTTTGAGACAAAGTAAACTTCTTTTTTTTTTAGGAAAGGTCTTTTTGATGAAAAATTGTCACCAGGGATGAGGAATAACTTTATAACGATAACCCTAAGTGCTAGAAATCATAGATTAGTCCTAACGTATCTAGTACATCAACAATAAAGATTAGCATTAGTGAAAACAATTCTTCTTTGTATTTTACTAACTTATATCTACCTATTGCTCTTTGACGTCATCGTTGTCAATTAGGTCATCTTGATATTTAACTGTAGAGTTCTCCTTCATGCGATATATTCAACAGCACATGTTATCAAGAAAATGATTTTCTGAAGTGAATGTATTGAAAACTTCTTTGCGTCGAAGCCGTAATCCTTTTATCAATATTTGTTAATTAGTAGACAGATGGAGGAAAGTAGTAGCTTGTAGGGGAAGTTGCTTTAAAGAATAATAAACGGGTGTATATTTTTCAAATAAGTAATGCATTTTAGCAAACAAAACGCTGGGAACTTTTCTATATACATACATAATGCAATAATCAGAGAAGGTAGAAAAGTAAATAGAAAATTTTTTTTGTTGAAATTGCAGGCACAAGTACGACAGAATTGTGATCGATCTTACATGGATTCCACTTCTCCTGTTGTGGAAACCAACCTATTTGTGACTCGTGTTTGTGTCCATGCGTCTTTAGCAAACGTGACAGAAAAATTCGACGGGAGGAACAACGTGCCAGATCCGCGGTCACCTTACGGGTGGAAAAAACGAGTAGGAATTCGTAGCAGACGAAAATGGCTTTCGACTTCTTTGCCGGATGTTTGGGAGGTAGATTATTAATATTCTATTCTTGCCTTTGCTTGAACGCTACTAAAACTTTAATTTCCTATAAAATAATCAATATTCTTAAGCATAGAAAGAAGTGATATATAATTTCATTTATCATCTTTACATACTATTTGTACGTAGCAGGCGGAAATTTTTTCATGATATTTACGCAAAGAAAACTTAGTACATATTTCTATAATTCTGACGGGGTCGATAAAGGGATGTATCTAGACGTATCTATATGAAATATGTACAAAAAATGTCAAGTCAGTTACGCAAGTACTTTTTGAGATATCATGAAAGCCATTTTTTAAAATGTAGTTTTGAGATAAACATTTATAAAGTTTTTCGTGCACTTTCTATGCTAATAAGTGTATAAATACTCTTTACTCTAATTAGCGATACTAGAGCCATATAAGGTTCCCTTTTCGTGCTCACAAATATCTTGTAAAAGGCATTATTCACTTCTACGATCCCATTTTTCTTTTTCTTTTGTTTTTTACTTTACCATGTTATAACGCCTTGCAAATAGTGAACTTTGTTAATGTTTCGCATCTAAAAGTAATATTTTACGCATATGTATATTCTACATTTTGTGCTTATAAAAAAGATATATAGAAAATCGATTTTTTTTACCCAATTAAGTCTACCCCTTAAAAATGTATGTCCTCAAAAAGAATTACTTTTGGTGTAAAAGAATAACACTTTGAAACAATTTATTTCAGGGTGCGCCGGTATTATGGTGGGATATCCTCTGGACACCATTAAGGTCCACATGCAAACGCAAGATTATCGTAACCCCAAGTATAAGGGCAATTGGCACTGCTTCCGAACGATACTCGCAAAAGAATCGGTACTTGAACGAATTAAGGAAAGAACGATTGTAAAATTAGCGTTGATCAAAGATGCATATTGTTCATTGTTGATCACCATTTATAACGATTAGAACGTAATCAGTATTAGTATAGCATCAATTACATGGACGAATGAGAGGGGGTTATAGAAGAACGTTAATAATTTAAAAATTCTGATGTTTTAAAAATGTGAAACGTTCGTTACGTTTAGTAACGTTTAGTTTACCCAATCTTCGACATGCAAATATAGAAAAATGTTAAGAAAGGTACAGATTCTTTTAAAATATCAGGAAAAGTTCAAGAGAAAAAATATTCCGATATTTCATTCTAAATAATGCTTCATTATTTATCTTAATGGGGAGTCATAAAAAGATTACAGAAATACTACAACGTAATTCGTTTAATTCAGCCATTTAATAGTTATAAAATTTGCACAGCTGTAATATTCAATCACTTTTAAAAGGATATTTAAAATAAAAATTCATAATATTAGGGAAAAAGCTGGAAAGAAACTAGGAACACTTGAAATTTTGCAATATACAGGGTGTTCAGCAACTGTTGGCAGAAAATTTAAGGGGTAACCCTAGAAGTCGATATACCACGAAAGTTAAGAATAAAAAAAATTACGTTTGAAGCTTCGTTTTTTAGTCATTAACGTTTAAAAATATCATTGCAGTCGAGCAAACCTCCTTGCACCAACGACTATAGGGCGCTTCAAGACACGGGGGGTATAGTGATCCTCAAAATCAACGACATACATATGTATGGCCAGCACCTTACCTCGTGACATTTGTCGCGCTATAAAACTGGTATTACCAATTTCTGCGACACTACCCTTTGCTTTATCACAACACAGGTGATTGCATTGTATACTGTAAACACAACGTACACTATGCATACAATATACATAATACACACAAATCACTGAAAAACAATCACTATACACTACAGTATTTATTATATATACACAGGCGCATGCACGAAATGAAAACTAAAAAAGGCAAAGAAAACTGAAGAAATCAAAAGAATATACAAGGTGAGGCATAGGAACCTACTGATTTTTTAAATGAAATAAAGTTTTAAGCTTTTAATTTTTTTATTAAGTTCTTTATGCCAATATAAAGATGCCGTCGTGCCATTTTATTTTTTAAAAAGGACTCCAGTGAGATGTGTCCCGCCATCCCTTAGACATTGTTCTAATCTATTTTGAAGATATCCTATTACCCTCTCGATCATTTTGTTAGGAATCGCTCCAATTTCATTTTTTAATCGTTGTTTCAATTCTTGAATATTGGCGGATCGAGGAGACCTACACACTTTGCATTCTGGCGAAAATTCCTAACACAACTTTGTGGAGTTATGGCAACGAACAGACCCATGAGGCGGAATTTCAAAATGTATGCGAAATAATCGCTGCGTTCTAATAACTGATTCGTTATTTTTTTTAAACTTTTGTACTACGAGTGCACGATGTTGTTCGGTCCATTGTTCCATGATTATTGAAATGACATCAAATAAGCAGTTCCCTGTCTTAAACTCCATAGCATCAGTTGAAACAATTGACGCTATTCGACAGTAAAAAATTGTCAGGTTCCTATGACGCACCCTGTATATTAAAACTGTATTAAAAGTACACTAAAGCGTAATAAATTGATTCGTTTATCGCGTCGACTAGCTCTTCAAAAGTTTCGCTTTCGTCATCGAAATGATTCTGTGCTTCCAAAATTGTTCTAGCTTTTTACCAAAATTAAGAAAGGCGTGATTGGCTTCCTGAAGAGTAAAATACCCTCCAATTAGCTAAAGCATGATGCGGTGGTGGTTGAATGTTTATTCAGAAAATTAAATTTACAACATTGAACTTCCTATGTCAGTGACTTTGTTTCCTATGTCCAGCTCGAAATTGACAAAGAACAGTCTTAATGTCTGGAAGCACTCTTTTAAGAAAGAGTATGACGATGGATAAAGTGGAAACGGTGTTCACCAGATGTGTCTAAAGAACTTTGGAAGGTTAACGGTGGAAGGTTTAGAAGAATAGAATCATTTCGACAATGAAAGCGAAATTCTTGAAGAGCTTTTTGGCGTGGTAAGCGCATATAGGACTTATTTTCATTTCTCTCTTCAAATTATACATTACTTTATAGTTATAAATTAATAAAGTTTCGCATAATCAATTGAATTTAATTTACAACATTTTAGTGTATTTTTAACATAGGTTTAATTTATTTTTCCTTAGTCTTTCCGGTTTTCTTTGTCTTTTTGGCATTCGTTTCGTACATACGCTTATGCGTGTGAATATTGTAGTGCATAGTGATTGTTTTTCAGTGATATGTTTTTCAGTACTGTCTTTGCGGTGTGCATAGTGTATGTTGTGTTTACTGTATACAATACAATATACAGTTGAAGAACTTTTCAAAAAGCACTTGTGTTGAAATTGGTAATACCATTTACGACGGCGAATGTCACTGCTTTTCTACGACTTGTACGTGATAAGATACCGGCCATATGTCGTTGGTTTTGAAGGTAACTCTATTCCGCGTGTCTTGAAGCGCTCTATATTCGTTAGTGTAGAGAGATTTGTTCGGCTACGAGGCTACTTTTAAACGTTAATAACTAAAAACCGAAATCTCAAACGTAAATTTTTTTATTCTTGATTTTCGTTTTATTTCGACTTCTAGAACCAACCCTTAAATTTTCTCCCTAGAGTGGCACCCTGTACGCGTAGGGTGTCTCAGTTGAAGAAGGCCACCTAAATATCTCTTTTGTTTTTAATGACGCGAAAACTGTTCATAGCACAATTTGAATGGTTTCAAAAGAGGAGTACCATGGAAGACAAATTTTATTGTCGGGTCATTTTTTCTGAGTTTTTTCAAGGTCGTCGGTATTTTTTATCGGGGTAGCATGTATTTTTTTTCGGTTGCATCTTGTAACCGAATGTAATCATGACCTTCAGATGACCTTGAACACCAAAAATGTGATGAAATTTTAAGGCAATGTTAGAATAGTACATGAACTTACTGTTTATGTTATAAATATTCAAAGCGATGTCCGTCGACAGCGATACAATTCGGCCAACACGTTCATCGGAGCTGACCCCACTAAACTTTTTTCTTTGGGGAAAACTAAAAGAAAATGTTTACCAACAGCGATCTACCACTCCAGAGAACATCGCATAATCAGTGCTTATGTTGCTATCCCACTAAAAACAATTGAAAGAGCATCACAGTCCCTGATTGTTCGTTTCAGAAAGTGTATCGCTGCCGACAGACATCACTTTGAACATTTACAACATAAACAGTATGTTCACATACCATCCTAACATTGTTTTACAATTTCGTCACAATTTATGGTGTTCAAGGTCATCTGAAAGTCATGATTAAATTAAATTAATTATTTTAATTAATTATACTGTTATTATTATTTTAAATAACAGATTAGATTAAATTAAAGAAATACCGACGAACTTGAAAAAACAAAAAAATTTGTCTTCCATGAACTCCTCTTTTGAAACCATTCAAATTGTGCTATAAACAGTTTTCATGTCATTAAAAACAAAAGAGATATTTAGGCGACCTCCTTTAGCTGAGACAGCCTGTATATGTATACAGTGCGAGTCACCTACCTCGTCTATCTTAAAATACTCGTAAACTGTTTGTTACATGAAAAATTGTTTCTAACAAAAATAATATATTATCAAAAGGGATGTACGGTAGAGTAATCAGTTTTTCGCTATTCTGCTTTTTCGCCGAGATATAGAGGTTACCTTGAGTTTTATAAATAGAGTATGCAACATTTTCCCTGCAATTCAAAAGAGTATTGAACGCTTAATAAATAATTATTATGGTATTACTGTAGGTTTGATACCAATTATTCAACACTGTCGAAATATTAGTATAATAGAAGACCAAAATGTTTTTCATTTTCTTCTAAACATTTACGTATTCTCGCTTGAAGTGGTTGTTATACTGAAGTCAACATCATGTCTCTGTATAAACTTCTCGAATTCTGCCCTTCATATTTCCTTTTGTTGTCGGTACATTTTCCAGCACTCGTTTTTAATAAAAACCCACAAAGAGAAATATAAGTGTGTCAGATTGGACGATCATGCAGGCCAGGAAACCAGAGCTCGACAAATTTAACAAAAACTAAACTTTATATGTTTACTTAAGTACAACAATTTTTTCAAGCAAGAATACGTAAATGCTTGGAAATAGGAGGAAAATATTTTGATCATCTATTAGAACATTTTGACAGTGTTGAATACTCGACGAGTAATTACATTCATAGATACCACTCGCAAACGGAGTCCGTCAGTAAGCTAAAAGTTTCACTAGTCGAAGTCATTTGATGTCCTAAATAGCCATGGGATCAAAAATTTTGCATTGCATTTAAAGAAATTAAAATAACCCCGAAAATTCAAAATTTACCCACTTTAAGAATAGTTCACATATAAAAAAAAATGGGTTCCATGTTACCATACAAGTCCTAACAAATAGTTTTCCGATAATTCACTTCAGTTAGGAAATATTTATTTATAACAGTTTACGTAATTCACTATGTATAATGAAAGATTAAGATCTACGAAAGGTTTGCACAGTACCAAAATTTCCTCGAATTTCTACTCGATTTGGTTTTTAAGGCCTTCTACAGCTTTCTCAACTTTTAAAGGAGTATACATGCACATTGTATTGAATTCCATTACATTTACTAAATTTTTAATGTAATATAATTGCTTCGTGATTATTTAAAGAATTATAAATGAAGGTATTTTTCAAATTGAAGTCTAACGAAAAAATAAAAGTTGTCTTTAATATCTAATCCTATACGTACACTTTTCTAGCTTTTTTCAATACTCGATACATTTTTCTTTAAAATGACACATTACTTTCTCTTTAAAACGACAAAGTTGACTTTCACAAGTATCTTAACAATTTAGAGTTAATAATTTTGGTGTACATTGCTAAAATTCGCTAAACATTTTCATTAATATCGTCCACTTTTCCAGGTAGCAGGTCTTTACCGAGGCATGTCATCACCTGTGGCTGGCGTGGCAATGGTGAATGCCATCATCTTTGGCGTTTACGGAGAAATTCAAAGGCGGATACCTGATTCTACCTCCTTGTACTCTCACTTTGTCGCGGGTGCCTTAACTGGGATTGCTCAAAGTCCCATCAGCAGTCCCATTGAATTGGTGAAGATGCGTATGCAGCTACAAACGTCCACTGCACAATTTTCAGGACCCATGGAATGTCTGAAGCACACGTATAAACACGAAGGATACCGTGGCCTATTTAAAGGTCTGGGCATTACGTTTTTTAGAGAGGCTCCAAGCTTTGGAATCTACTTTTTTACGTATGAAGCGTTGACCAGAACAGCAGACAACGGTCCTGTTTCGACACCGTGTATGCTGCTAGCTGGAGGCCTGGCTGGTACTGCTTCCTGGGTGATCTCCTATCCTCTGGACGTGGTCAAGTCTCGAATTCAAGCCAACGGAAATCGCTACGCTGGAGTGATCGATTGCCTGAAACGCTCGGTAATGACAGAAGGCTACTCATGCTTGTACAGAGGTCTGAGCTCAACGATCCTTCGAGCGTTTCCGACAAACGCTGTGACATTCACCGTAGTCGCATGGACGTTTCGATTATTAGGACAGGAAGCCAATAAGACGACGGAAGGGGAGGCGATATCAAAGATGGTAGAATCAATTAGAGAGATTTCAGAGGCACGTGAACCCTTGCTGGATAAGTGAAACATCTTTCTAACAAACGCAACCAAAAGCATATTGGTTCATAGGCTGCATTACTCTACAGTGTCGAAGATATCGAACGAGTTGAAGCTCGGCTGTTGCATTCTGTGTCAGACTAACAACACGTGTACGAAGGAGGTAATTTAGTGCAGCGAGCAAGCACTAAGTGTAATAAAGGGGAGAACAATGAGAAATCGAAAGTAGCGAAGGAGGAAGGTGAGGAGGAGTATGCTGAGAAGAAAATGGAGCGAAGCGTTGTCGAACAAACGGTGAATGCGATTTCTAGCATTCCAAGTTCTAGAAAGGCGATATTAAACGGATGGACAAAATTGTGATGGATGTAGACATGTGATTTCATAATTATGGGATTGAATAATGAAATGTAATATAATTAAAGTGATGCGATTTACGAGATATTTTGTATTTATTACTAGAAGTGACTTTTTTCATAGTTGTCGCTATTTTTCTCGCTATTACTAAAGTCAAAATCAAATGTATTGACTATTTAACGTTACTTCTCTATTGACTCTTTTAAATAATTACAGGCCCTATTTTAACGAGATTTACACGTACAAACTGTCAAATGAACATAAATATATAAAGGTTTTATTAAAAGGTTATACCCGAAAAGATAATAATAGCGTGATAGGTACAATAATGTTTTATTGTTATAGAAAAACTGCCTCAGGGTAAAAATAAGTAAAAAATATTTTTGTCTTTTGCTGCTGTCATCTACATTTATTGAATGAATATTGAAAATTAAACAAAGTCTCCATGAGATAAAAAAATATAAGATAAGTAGTTACAACGCTTTCTGTATATTAGAAAGAAGGCCAGCGGGACGACACAGAGGCAAGAGGGGAATGTACTTCATTCGTACCGCTGGACTCTCCCGTCGCCCAACTTTATATGATCCGATTGGTCGATGTTATCGCGTCGGTCAATAATGACAGTACGTGTGGCCTATTTCTATGATTCTGTTAGAGAAGGTGAGCTTATAGGAATATGACTCAATCAGACCCGCATTCTTTCCGCGGGACTCCTTTCCAGTTCTACACAATACTGGTGGTCGAGCGAGATAGCAGTGTTGTACAGCAGGACCCGCAAGGGGGCATTGTAGCGAGGCGTGGGCGAGAGGTGGTGGTGGCAAGTTATCAAACAGGCCAAGGCCCAGCCCTGGAAGAAGGCTATCTGGGCAGAGATCCGTGAAAGCGCCCATATAGAATGGTGATGTGTAAACTTCATCCCTGGACGCCCTCTGCACCACCAGCTTCTCAGACGGGTCGTGAATATTCCCTTCCTTGCTGCGGACCGCTCCGATGTTGATGCGTCTAGTGTGCCGACATGAGTGTCACGGAGAAGTTGGCTGGAGTAGTGAAACACCTGGCGGGCCTGGATCACGGCACCTAACACGTCCGCTGGAACACGGCACCCTAAATCTTGACTCCACGCGTCCTGAGAACCCGAATGTGGCAGCTCCTCGATGTCTGCATGCAGTCAGGCCAGGTTCCGCAACAGTGGAGAAAGGGGCGCATGGTCCTTTTGAGGAAGGAAGAACGGTCCGCTGAAGGAGTCTCATTATACGCATCGACGAGGTCGAGGAGCTGTTTGAAAAGGTGATAGTTTGACCCCTCGAGCCATCTGTCTTGTGGGGGTCGGGGGTACTCCACGATTGACGCTGTTCATTGAGTCAGATCGCTATAAGGCAACATAACACGTTCTCTAACACAATCATAAAAATAAGGCACACGTATTGTCATTATAGGTCAAACGCAATAACATCGACGAATCGAATCATATAGCTTCGCGTGGCGGAAGATTGGAGCAGTGCAAGTGAACTATCCCTCTTGTCCCTGTGTCGTCCCGGGGCAAACTCTTGAGTTCTACACAGTACCCTTCGCTGTCGGTGCGAATGGCATGGGTGCAGCCGCACTCTGGCGCGGAAGGCCGCGCTGAGACGGAAGTCTCGAGATTTCCGTAGGGGTAAGCTCCTTGCGACCCTTCTTACCCATCCTCCACTTCTTCTGCGCATCTGCCTCCGGCTTAGCCGGTTCAGCTGTAGAAGCGAAGGGACCTGCAGGCAGAATCTCTACTCTAAATACCGCTAACTGCACTTGCATGATTGTACTGATTTTCTTGAGCAGGATGTCGTCCCGGTTCTCCTCCACAGCTACAGCCCTCTTCACAGGGAACGCAGATGTACTCCTAGTCGGGCGTCTGTCTTCTCTATCGTTGGCAGCAGGTTCAGTGGAACCCGGATTCGAAAGATTACAATCACTCCCAAGTCCATGGGCTCTTTCACTGTAGCCTTGCCTGATGTCGCTGGTGGAGGTATTGGCTGCACGGGTTTCGTCTTCACTTACCACACCCGCAAATCCTCCGTGTCGGCCATGAGTCGCGCGATTGGTTCCTTCAAATTCTTAACGTGCGACCTCGATCTGGCGTGGTCTGCCTTCAGGAGAGGCGACCGACGGTCGTGGTCCTCTTCACCACCTCCAACTCAGCATGCGGACGAAACTATCTTAGAGGTTCTGCCTGCTCACTCCAACCACTATCTCTACTTCCTTCTAATACTCTCGTATATAAGAGTTAATGCCTGGTATCGGAAGATGACGCATTTCCCGTTCAAAATCCTCCTCATCTGGGAGAGGATCCCCTTCATCCACTTCGACGCCTCCCTCTCACGCCGCACGCTGTTCTTTTCCCTAGCAGCAGCCACCTGACAGTACCTACTCCTTTTTGGTAGCTGTTAGTCTCGCGTACTCACCCGTGATGGGATGCTTTCCGTGTGCTCTCGCCTACCACCTTTTCATAGGGGCAATACCCAAACCGAATCGTTGCTCATCTCAGCCATCTCCGCCTATACTGTTTCTCTTGTCAGCGAACTCCGTCTCGAAGAGACATCATTGGCAACCCTTGTGGAAGTATCACCAAAGTTTGCGTGCTCCAATGCCTCACAACTGGGCAGAACCCAACCTCTTCGATGGTACAGGTTCATAGGCACATGTGAAAGCACCTGCTCAGTCGTGCTCGGCCCTGCGCGACTCTCCTGTGTTACGTCGCGTCTCTCCTCCTCGCTTGCCACTACTTATGTGGCAGAGATGTTTTTCTTAAAGTTCATTTGTTCTCTTACCTGCGTTGACACGTAAGACAAACATGTAATAGTACGGACATTAATTTCTAAGTGACTCACACATAATAAATTGTTGTTGTAAAGGAAAACTCAGAAAATCTATTAATATGTTTTAGGATTTAGAAAAGTGAAAAGTAAATATTGTTTTGTTATTCCTGAATAATAAAAATAGTTTCCTGTGGTTTAGAAAATTGCTTGTGAAGTCTAAAAATTTCTGACTGCAATGAAAAATACATAGCATGCCACCACAGACCGACAGCCACCGTTTCTGCGCCTCAAAACGGGCACATGATTCATTTATTACTGAATTCTCACGTGAGACTCGATCGTCAATTGTTTTCGCCGTGTGAATCGATCACGCCACTCTGTCATCCATTTGAATAGCATCCGCGACAGCGAATTTTGTGGTCATAAGCAACCACCTAGTCACGTATCAGAAAAGTAAATACTTGTCGTTCATTACTTTTTGGTCTATTTCGATTATTTAGCGTCGAAATTATTAATTGTTTCGTCCTTATGGATCAAATGACATTAAAGAACAGGTTGCAATAGTTTTTATTAGACTATTTCAATATAATATATTGAACGATATCTGCTTATATTATAAGAAGAATATTCACATATGTAAATTGCCATGTGTGTCGATGAGGGCTAGTTGTTCCTGTGAGTTGGGGCATGTTGTTTATATTTGAACTGCGAGCAACAAGAGTATTTTGCCGGACAGGCAAATTATATCAATAAATACACATTTTTGATATATTACACCTAAATATTTATTTACTTGTTACGAGCTTACACTTGGTATCCTCACACGGAGCGGAATGTCGGTTTTGTTTGATAGGAAAGTTTGGAACGTTCGACGTATGTTAATACGCCAGCCAGACACAATTTTTATACACGGGTTTAGTGCAGGCAAGATAAAAACAAGAAACAATTAATTAAAATTGTATAAAAAATTGTTATGTATGACGAAAAGGTAACTAAACATACATACATGTTTAAGTAAATTTGTACATCCTAGAGTAAGTAAGCGGTTAGGCTGTTTTCAGTGCAACGCACAGTGGGCCAAACAAAGATTCTAGTTAATAAAACAATCATACTCATTAGGGGCAGCTTCCTATGTCAACTTCTGTGGGGTCGGTATAAAGGGGAAACTTCAACCTTCCAATTCATGGTGGTTTACCTTTTGGCCTTTGGACAATGGACTGCCTTTTGGCAGTCATTTGAATTATATATAATTTTCAAAAAAAAAAGCATCATCGAGGAAATTGAACTTAGGGGTGTTTTTAGTCATAGAAACTACAAAATTCCATATAAATCATTTTTTCTATGTTATAAAGAAAAACCTAACTGATATCTTCAAATATGATACATTGCGTATCGCATCCGTGTGTGCCCGAATCGAAGGACCATCAGTGTATTGTAAGTACTCTGGAAACTTATTTGTCGCGTATAAAGGGCCGTTCTCTCTTTGTATGTAGCCGTGGTTTTACAAATATCTTTACGAAGCAGTCGCTTGCACCGAATCAACGTCTTTTTCAAGATCAACCCCGCGAACCTACGATGCTCGCCTTATTGTATGTTTAATCGCCGTGATAGGCGGTAACGTCGTTGACGAATCGTTACGTTTTCTTTTCCTGTGTTGTTCTCCTGGTTTCCTTAGCTTACCGCCAAACTTCGTGACTGGGGAGCTAACAGGGTGGGGGTGCAGGTCGTCGGAAGGACTAGATCCAGGGGATCGTCGAGCCCGATGCCCGACTTCGTTCGTACTCGCCTCATGGAGTTTATGACCCCGAATTGCTATTGAGTGAGTAGAAGCAGGCCATGGTCGTTCATCTGGCCAGCAGAAGCGAAGACCTTTTGCTGCCATGAACGACTTTCCAGAGCCTGACTTCTGACTCGGACGGCTAACAATAGTGAAATTTTTTTTTTAATTAAAAGTTCCTCAAAAATAGCTATGCCTGACGTCCTTGTCATAAACCCATTGCTTTCTGGCCGAGGCATGTTAGTGCTGTTCATTAACAGTAGATATGATCGAATCGGATGAAAATAATAAAATGTGGAACAAATCTTTTATTGTTTATTCTCTAGATATTTTTCACGTATTTCGTGTGAGAAAATCCGTCCCGATGACAGTGAAGCGAGCTACTTGAGGCGGGGCCCAGCACACATGGTGGGGGTGACTTGCCCCTTTGGGTTTTTCTCAGGCCTGCTTCGCGGGAGAGGTGAACAAGGGATCGGCAGCAGCGATGTCAGAATAGTGGGCCAAAGCGC